GTTTTCTGTCTTCTATTGTGAATAAAATATGGGTTTATGAGATTTGCTAATCATTGTATTCTGTTTTTATGTAGATTTTCACAATTTTTTTGGAATTGGGGTTATTGGCAGTAAATACTTTGTTTACTCTATAAAGGGCAACCTGGCCAGTATCATTAATTTATGCCTCTGCCTATATACATGACCCAAAATTATTCTAAAGCCTATAGACACAATTCACACATTTAGTGTTGGAACTTACTTGGAGAATTGTTCCTGTGAGAATATGGGCTGGGGTATGGAGTTGCCCGATGATTTCGCAAAGATGAATATCTATCACATCCATGGGAAGAAGAAATAGGTAGTGGTGCTACAAAACTGGGAGTGAGGATTAGATGGAGTGCACAGTGATCCGGTTCCAGGAATCAGCCAACTGCCCACTGAAGTAAAAAAACAGAAGTTTGTTGTTTTCCATTTAAATAGATTTGGAATACACTGTACACCTAACTAAATAAACAACTGCTTTAAAACAGATCTAGCTCTGAAAATGACACATAACATTAAACTATACAAGTCTGAACTGCAAAATCATATTAAAAAAAAAAAAATAAAACTCAGTCTTTTCTTGCTATAATAAACATGGACCCTTGATGACATAAAGCCTAGGCAGCCTAGATGGCAATATCCAAAGCTACCAAAGAACACATAATTAGACTGCGGAGAGTATGTTGCTTTCAATAAACTGGATCTTTTAGAATTGTTGTGCTATTAAAGTATTAGCAAAGCACAGACATGAAGCAAACCTATATGTAACAAGTAAATATGTCCACCCAAATGTAGATCATAACATTCCAGGCTATCCTCAGAATGACTTTTCAAACATGAAGCCATAATAGGAACTTTAAATTATGCAGATCTTATTTTGAGTTAAGTAATTAATTAATTATAATGTCCAGACACAAATGAGTGCCAAAAGCCCCATTTAATAAAAGACACCAAAACTGCAGATTTCACACTCGATTACTTGCATATTGAATTTAGTTTACTGTATATACTCGAGTATAAGCCGAGTTTTTCAGCACATTTTTTGTGCTGAAAAACGGCCCCCTCGGCTTATACTCGAGTCAACGTCTGCAGATGACATGCCGTCCCTGTCATCTGGACACACCCCCGGGATCAATCCTCGCCGGTGATTGGCTGCCGGAACTGTAGCTCAAGAGAGGCACACAGGCGCCCAATCACCGGCGAGGAGGTGGAGCTTGGAGAGGAGGAGCCGAGTGGCACCGCGAAGACCGAGCGAGTAAAGAGGAGGAGAGCGGCCGGAGAAGGAAGACATCTGACCAGTAAGTGTGTACCATGGGAGAGGGAGCGAGCGAGCCCAGGCTGGAGCAGGGGTCACCAACGATGGGGCACTATTCCTCCCCCCACTGACACCAACGATGGGGCACTATTCCTCCCCCCACTGACACCAACGATGGGGCACTATTCCTCCCACACTGACACCAACGATGGGGCACTATTCCTCCCACACTGACACCAATGATGGGGCACTATTCCTCCCCCCACTGACACCAACGATGGGGCACTATTCCTCCCCCCAATGACACCAACGATGGGGCACTATTCCTCCCCCCACTGACACCAACGATGGGGCACTATTCCTCCCCCCACTGACACCAACGATGGGGCACTATTCCTCCCCCCTCGGCTTATACTCGAGTCAATAGTTTTTCCCAGTTTTTTGTGGTAAAATTAGGTACCTCGGCTTATATTCGGGTCGGCTTATACTCGAGTATATACGGTACTCAAAATGAATAGATATGGAGTGACAATAAATGCCAAAATGATATTCTACTGTCATCAATGTCTAATAGTGTCATCAATTTTCTAATCCTCCAGTTTTATAATAGTATTTCCTCTTTTCTGTGAACATGATATTTGACTGCCAAAATAATTTTAAATATATAAATATGGATTTTGTGTCTGAACATGCATGGCTGAACATTTCCAGACACCCCTGACTCCAACTTTATTTTAGGGAAATAATGGTTCATGGATATTAGAAATACTACTACTACTACTACTAATACTACTACTACACTACACTCAAGAAGTAAATATATAAATTTAAATTATCAACCAAACTTTCATGTTCTGTTACAAACATCTCTAATGTTGTTTCTATGTTCACAAAGGACAGTGCAAAAAAAATAAAACTCACAAACGTACATTGTGAAAAACCTTGCTGATTATCCATTCCTTCTTCCAAAATATCTTTGTTATCATTTCTGTCAAAAACAAAGAACATTTAGTCAGACAGAATACATTATTTACTAGTTTATATCAGTTTTGTAGTGGAAGTGAAGTTCCTGTCCACACCTAATTTATTTCAGTAACCTAATATTAATGGAATTTTGCTAATTTCAGTGAGTCTGTGAGAGCCCATGTGTTCTGTAACAGTGTAGCTCAAAAGTGTACATGGAGAATGGGGGGTACAGATAGTATACCAGGTGAACATTTTTTGTTTTTCTAATATTGCCTTTGAAATCTTCCAGTGCAGACACCTGTTTCAATTAAAATTGGCTAACATTACTTTAAAGAGATCTCTTACTTCCTGTTGTGTCCACATGAAAGAAAGTGTAGGAAAAATTAGCCAATGGGATGCAAATGGCAAAACAAATCTGACATATAACCCTTGCTTATATGAAGAGGAAAAGCAAACAGTTGTGGCTATAGTTATTCTTTGGTTTCTGAAAAAATATGTAGGCGAAAAGAGGGAATTGGATGTAAATACACCTTTTATGGATATAAATACACTTTGTCATAATTTATGTAACAATATTCAGCTGTTCTTGGCACATTAATTGGAACCTTTGAGGCTAGAAATATGGGAGCAGCTGTTGTTAAAAATGTACACAAAATTTACTTTCAATTAAACACAACACCTTTTAGTGGTATTTTGCAATGTTGTGCATTCAATCAAAAGCACAGGATACATAAAATATGTTTAGTTTTTTGTTCACATAAACACCTACCAATATTGCAGGAAAAGAGGGACAGTAAACAAGTATCTTCCCTTCTGAACCATACTAGGCTATATGCCCTCAACATTGGAAAGGTATCATGCGTAGGGGGTTGTCCAGTCCTCCCCACCCCTGCAAGGCACCTTGTCCCAACTGAATGGGAGAAGGGCCTCATCTTCACATCTTGTCCTCCAAAAGGGATCTGCGGGGTGAGGAGACTCTAGAAGCGCCTTTCAAAAAAGGGGGCTCCCAGTTATCCAGCTCCCCCCACACACACATACACATGAATGAGTATGGATTACATAGTACCCCTCATTTACAAAAAATAGGAAAGAGTAAGCAAAAACATCCACACTGTTGAGCAAATCCTTCTTTTTAAGAAAAAAGAAACAATGCCCAAGGTTGCAAATCCAATATCAATCACATTTATTGGCAATATAGATCCACTTCAGTCACGATGACCTGTGTATGATGATGTAGGTCCATGGTCCACCACTTCTCCTGTTACAAATGACAACTACCTGATGCTGCTGGAATATGAAAAATAGTGTTGAGGAGCCTGGGTAACAACATTGATCAAATAGGGTCATGATAATATTTGTCAAAGAGGTTACCCAGGTTCCCTAGTCCGTTGTTTACAATTAGAAGATCATGTGGATCTGTGATTTAGAGATGGTAATGATATCATTTAAAAATGTCTCCCTTTTCTTTAAAATGTCAGCATCTACTAAACATTTTTGTAACGGATAAGTTTCTCACTAAGGCCTCGTTCACATGGGCATACTACAGAATACGCCCATACGACGGCTGTGTTTACCATCATTTGGGATATAGCAACTGCTTACAGCGCTGAGCGAACTATTGGCGCTTTATAAATACTGAATAATAATAATAACTGCTTGGGCACAACTGCTTCTCACAATTTGACATCTGTCTGGGTGCACAGCCCTAAACGCAGATAGGGTGCTTTCAGGGCCCTGCACCCAGAGATGTCATGAGCCAAGAAGGTCACAGATCCTAACAGGGTTCCAGGAAAGAAGGACTTGTTTTTGTGTTAACTATTAGTAGTTTTAAATGAAGTGTAAAAATGACTAAAAGGAACAAAGCTTTTCAATACATGTGCTTTCCAAACAAGCCTCTCTAGTCCCCACATTCTGCACAGCATCTGTTTCTCATGATACATTCCAAAGTATTGTGTTTGGGAGTCACCTATAGAGTTTTCAGAATTGCCTTTTGACGACTATTCACATAAACCAAATAGAGTAAATCTGCAGTCAAATTCTTGGAACTTTACACACAAAATGTAAGCATTGCATTTGCCATTAAGATGAACAATAAAGGATGTTTGAAGGGTGGTGGGATGGGAGTCATGGGAAGGATAACCAAGTCAGATGTTTTTGCTGAGAAAATGTGGCTTGTAATGCAAGACTGAAGCCTGATGAACAGTAACATTGTAGTTTCATTACTTAATACAAATGCATACATTTGAATCTATCCATAAAATGTTATACTTTGTGCAAAATAACTTAGATTTTAATGAGCTGTTTTTTGAAATCTGTAAGTTAAAGTGACTTTGTTTAAAAAGAAAAAAAAAAGTGTAAAGTGCAGCTGTCTAGGTACCTGCACTTTCTTACAGCAGCCTGTAAGACCCCACAGCATGGAAAGCCAATCTAACTGGCAACTAGGATAGCCTGCCACACAGTGAAGGTCCAATAGGAACATGCTTTCACATTACCAGTAAGTGTCGGATCTTGCCAATCAGAAAGACACAGTATTCAGGAATAGCTGCAGAGCCCACAAGCTGCTACAGATGTGCAAGTTATACTTAAAGAGTAATTTCAAAAATAATTTTTAAAAAAGGTGAAAGTACCATATTTTATTTCCTTTCTTTGTGGTCAAGAGTAAACATTGTAGACGGGAACATGGTAAATGAGATGTATTTCATAGTGCCCATACTCCAGCTCAATCGGCAAAATAAAAATGTAGGTACACATTTTTTTACCTTTCTTTAGCATCTAGAAATGCCTTTGCAAATGGGTTGTGCTTAATTTTAAGAGCTGTAATCTGCAGGAAAGAAAAGAAAAAAAAATGTAATGGATATGTCATAATTAAATACCATTTTATTTACAAATTAAAAGATTGATGCATATATTTTAAAATACCAGCACCCCCAATCCTCCATATCATAAAAAATATATGTTTTTTGCTTAGTAGCTTTTCATTGCAAATGTATTCAAGGCCAGTACAGCCTATAATCCATCTCATTCATGTAGTTTTTGCAAACATCATCGGGGGCAAGTGCTAAAGTGAGGTTGGAGATTACCATTATTTCATATGGCAGTTCCTCATATGTTGGCTTAAATGTGCACAATTTTTTTCTTGATGTTGTAATTGCTTCTTAGGCCCTATGCAGAGCATACAAGGAAAAATGCTCTTTACTATTAGATATAGTATAAAGTTATATTATGTTTGCTGTTGCAGAGAATTAGAGGGATAGGGAGAGCTTGTTTTAAAAACAATGCACTCATCCTTGGGGGCGCATTCACACCAGCACCCATGCGGAAGGCATAGCCTTGCATTGGGCCAATGCTGGAAACGGCTGCCCAGGGCAGTGCAAATGCATCTGGTGTGCACAGGCCCTGAATATATGTTTAAACTTTGCAAACACCTAGCTATGTACAGTGAGGCTGAAAAGAAATTGAGAACTTTAACTGAACTTGGATACTCGAAGCAACAACATCTTAACTGAGATTGCTGAAAATATTATCCTTTTAGCAACCCTATTGCCAAATGTGGATCAGAAAGTGTAGGATTGCTGAACTACATGAACTCCACTTACCTCTTCATTCTGATATGCTGTCACAGCTATGAACTGAGTTTCAGGAAAGGAATGACTGGTAATCATCCGTTGGGGTCCACCAACTCTCACTATGTGAATCCTGGGCTCATACTTGTGTAAAGAGTTCAGCATTATCTGAAAGGATTGAGATAATTTCACATTTTCATTAACTATGCAGCAATACATTTATGTATTAACAAAGGGCTGCTACACCCTCAGGGGCTCTTTTACTTATGGAGCACAGAATGTTAACTTGTATTAATTTCAATTATGTGAAAGGTACATTTTTTGTTTTTTTTATTCTCCTGCACATTTAAACTGAAAATATGTATTCAGAAAGCTAAAGCCGTACATAGATGGAGCGATTTTCTTTCCTGCAGCCACGGGTCAATTCCCACATCAACACAGTCAGTGTTGATGAGGGAATCCCTTCCTTAGAGCCATTTTGTTCTCCCGGCAGGAACGAGGGAGCAGCCATAATAGTCGCTATAATAGCCACTAGCAATAATTCCATGTAAAATACAACAGGCTGGTTGTACCAAAGTTGATCAATCAATCAATTTGTGTACATTTAGCCTGCCCATACACAGTTCAAACCTCGGTCAGTCCCTGCTGAACCAGCCGAGATTCGAATCTTCTATGGCCGGCTTAAGTGTACCTTTCCACTCTTTTGGTGAGTAAGCCAATGTACTGCATTGCTTGGAAAACTTTGGTATTACTTGTGCTTGCTAAAAGATGAAGCAATTTGCTTTTTTTAAGCTTCTAATATAATGATTGTATAGGCAACACACTTTTATAGTTTTTAATTAGCTGCATATTGTGATATAGGCAGAAATTGCCCACAACTTTTCCCATGCAACTTTTACAACAACAGTCCCACCCAACTTTCTCCCCTCCTGAAAACACATTATGGCGGCACAGTGGCTAAGTGGTTAGCACTTCTGCCTGGCAGTACTAGGGTCGCTGGTTCAAATCCCAACCACAGCACCACCTGCCTGGAGTTTTCATGTTCTCCCTGTGCCTGCATGGGGTTTCCTCTGGGTACTCCAGTTTCCTCCTACACGCCAAAGACATGCTGGTAGGTTAATTGGCTCCTGTCTAAATTGGCCCTAGTATATGCATGAATGTGAGTTAGGGATCTTAGATTGTACACCCCTTGAGGGTTAGGGACCGATGTGAATGTACACTATATATGTAAAAAGCACTGCGTAAATTGATGGCGCTATATAAGTACCTGAAATAGAGTGGTTTTTATTACCTGGCCTCCACTGTTCATTTTATTGGTGAGTTTGACTTTGCTGAAAGAAACAGGGTCTTTCATCCAGTGAGCTCCAAAGTTGGGAGAGTCAGGGTGAATATAAACACAGCTGGGAGCCTGAGGCTCTGGTTTTCCTCCTGGCACCCATTCTCCATTCACATACTTCCATCGGTGGTTGTCTGCTGCTACGAAATCAAGCAGGAAAGTATACATAGCATTTGGGTCCAAGCCAGAAACACTCACTTTCAACACAGGAAACATTCGCCTGAAAAAAAAAGGAAAATAGTTGCTTCTGAAAATTAATAAAAAACAAAAGGTCTGTAAAGCAATAACAAAGCTGTATATAATGTCAAAGCACAAAGAAAAATCATGAAAGGTCATACAAAGATATACAACATAAATGTATTGCTACTTTAACCTATGATATAGACCTAAAATCATTAACATCAAGCATCAATCCCAATACTCAGCGGATCACAGAGAGGGTACATAATGGGGAAGATTTACTAAAACTGGAGAGTGCAAAATCTGGTGCAGCTCTGCATGGAAGCCAAACAGCTTCCCACCTTTTTTTTGTGTCAAAGTTTAATCGATCAAACTGAAGTTGAAGCTGATAGGCTACCATGCACAACTGTATCATGTTTTGCACTCTCCAATTTTAGTAACTCAACCCCAATGTGACCTTGTCTTACAAGGAAAATGTAATTTTTTGGGAACAGAATTAAATCTTGTTTTGAATGATTTTGTTTAATTTTCATATTTGGTAATTTACTTCTAAGCATTCAATATGTTAGCCTTTGAAATGTATAATTACCATAAGTTAATATATTATTACCAGAACACTTTGTTAACATTTAATCTGATGTATCACTGCAATTTTAAAATAAATAATTTAAATATATTTAAAAGTGTTTTATTTTTGTAAGATGGACACTTTCTACTAATAATAATTCCAGCTATATAATATATGTATTATTAAATTTGAGAATTGACGTAGTAATTTGGACTTTATTTACAGGTGTTATTACAATTTGTATCTGAAAATGTACAGTTGCTTTCAATGTATTCTTGTCTGTAGAGTTAAGATAAAGTCTTTAGGAAATTATCTATAATGAACAAATCTTCATCAGTGTTTGTGTTAATTGATCAGCCATACTAGGCTGCATCCCCGAAACAGACAACTGATCTCCCATGAGCACACACTAATACCTGTATATAAAAAAAAGAATCATATACCCAGCAAAAGAGGCAAATCACTGCTCAACCTAATGGGCAGTGTGTGAGCTAGACTTTAGTAAATTAGGCCTTGTGTCTTTTTATCAAAAGACAAATAAAGTGATTCAAAAGGTAGTGTTAGAAAGGAAATGAACTATCCTCCTTGTTTATTACCTTTCAACTCAGTGCCTTCTTTTGTCTTTAATTTAAGGTCAAAGAGCTCATCTACTAAGAAGCAGCTTTAATTACTTTGCTACTGAAGCCACATGATTCATCCATGCAATGACCTCTTAATATACATTTATAGAGATTCCAGTTGTATACAGTACACACGTTATCTCAATCTACAAAGATACAGATGTATCAGATTGTCTATCCTGTGTGCACTGTAGCACTGTGCATTTTTGTGGACTTGTCTTGAACTTCCTTAACAGTCAATGAACTTGATATACTACAGAGGGAGAGAATGTTTATATATCAAAAACTTTTGTGAATAAAGCTATGTGTTATCTTTGATTATCCAATCATGTCAAAGGGGAATTTAAAACAAATATTTCCCCTGCACGTGATTGATCTTGATGGATTTTGTCTTGCACATGACTTGATAATCGAAGTTACTACAGTTTCACTTTCTTCACTAAGCTAATTGAAAATTCTCTACTCCTTTATTATTTTAACTAAAGTGCACTCTCATTTTAGAAACACATGTAAATAAACATTATAAGCATTGATTTTGTTAAAAAATGCATTGATATTTGGGTCACATTTGTTGTGGTGCATTAATTTATATGCTGTAAGCCATACAGTTTTCTATTATCCAGTACAAGAGAATAAATTGCACAGAAATTGAAATGCAGAAGCAACTTTTTTTTTGTTAAAACGATCTTGAAAATCGACTGTACAATATATATTTAAAGCACTGCATAAGTTGTCTGCGCTGTATAAGTGCCTGTAAGTATAAGTGCAATACTTTTTATAGCAATATAAAGGTGTGAACTATTCACTTTGTCTTGCCTTGTGTTGGACTATACTGGGTAAGTCTGCCCAGGGCAGCCCCAGCATGCCTAGTGTGACTGAGCACTAAGTATTGTAAAAATGCATGTTTTTACAGGCTTTCTAGAACAACTTAATGTGTGCATGCCCTAAATGTGTATTCTTATACATAAGGTAGGGGTTTTATGCATCCATGGGATAATTTGCCAAGCACCTCAAAGCTTGCTAGAGCAGTTTATCTATGTGATATGGTGTAGATCAGGCTGACACAATGGGTGTTATTTACTAAAAATGGAGAGTGCAAAATCTGGTGCAAGTCTGCATGGAAACCAATCAGAGTCCAGGTTTTATTGCCAAAGCTTTATTGAACAAGCCGAGGTTAGAAACTGATTGGCTACCTTGCACAGCAGCACCACAGCAGCAACCAGTGTTCCAGTTTTAGTAAATCAACCCCAATGAGGCTGATTTACTAAAGATGTTGGGAATGTTCATTCAATAACCTGAGTGAAGTATAACTTTATTTATCTAATCATGTGATAAAGTAAATTTCTGTTTATTTCATTGGGACATGATTGGGTATTTAATGTGAACACTGCTACAATTGAGTGAATACTCTCAACTCCTTTAGTAAATCAGCTTTAATGCAGCAATCACGTTGGAATCAACAATGTATTAATCTTCATTGTGTAGTTGCTGCATAGAGCTTATAATATTCTGTAACAGCTGTTAAATTATCAGATCCTTTTGACATTAGGCATTAAACAAAGCATTTCATTGAACGTCTTTGCTATTTTCCTAAAACGGTTGATTTGAAGGAAAATAAGAATATTTTTCTAAAAGGGATTATCTTAACATCAGTAATTGTAATAAATATTGTAAGAAACTTCCAAAAAATGAATAGCATATCCGATGTTCAAAAAAATTGGAGGAACTTCCAGGCTCAAGAAAAAAACTTCTGACTATATAATCTTTCTCCTACCTTCCATTTTTAGTGACAATCATCTCATTGGTGAGCTCCTTGAATCTCAGCCACAGTTCCTGGTCCTCCAGAGTAACTTTAAGATCTCTTTCTGTGGGATCTCCCTTTTCACTGCCAGCTTGAAGTTCATTTTCCACAGCACTAAGAAGATGATCTACTCGGTACTGCAAGTTCTTTCCACAGCTATCTGTTGCACTTAAGCTCATCCCTCCAATTGTGCTCCTTCAACACAAGTAAAAATAACTTCAGCAGATCCAATGGAGATATAGAAGTGTTATCAGGATTTTGTCAAATATGTGTGATCAGTAGTTAATGTCTGGCAATAGTAAATCCGGAGATAATGACTTGTGTCAGCTTGAAGTTTTACTAAACAGGATTTCATTACTTTACTTTCCATTAAATAGGCAGGGCTTTAGTTTGATGACATCACTAGCAGGGTAAGAAGTTTGCTGATTGGCTAGAGTACCCTTTGATGTTTGTCAATAAGCCCTTTGATTGGTCTGCTGTGCACACTGTGATAATCTTCTGAAGTTAATTGCAAGTCAGAGGACTTTATGCAAATCTCCAAATGTTTGCACCTTTATCAAAGAGCTCTGGTGCAGTGAGGAAATGGTGTGTCAGGCCAAATAACCTGTCTTCAATTAAGCAGGGGTGACACCTGGTCAAATTTTAATTTTAAATCCCTTTTCCTGAGAGTGAGGGAGTTTTACCAAAACTATACAGAATTTAAATTTTAAAGTGAATCTTTAATATCTAATGCCACTTTCTGGGTCAGGTTGAAGAACCACAATTGTTAAGTTACCTTTAAAATTCATGCTGAAGTCAAATAGCATGCTGCTTAATACATTTGATATCTTTGCAGCTGCATAGAGACATGCTTGTGAACTTCAGTACAATATTTACTATAGTTATGCCCACAGTGATTGCTATTATAATATTGGTATTGATTGATTTAGCAAAAAATATTATTAGTTGTGTGTATTCTTGGAAAGGTTATATATTTTATTTAAAATCTGATAAATAAAATATAGTAATAATTATAAATTACATACCTGTATATGAATAATTTGAGACACAATAGGACGAGGTGCCTACAACCCACCCCGGGAACCCCTTCATCCCCCTCTGTACCCCCTAAAATATACTTACAATCATTTATACAATGTCACATTTGTAATGCCCCAAACTACTGTAACCTTACCAATATATGAATGTACTTCTGTCCCTAGAAACATAAGTAAAAATGTTAAAAAGAAAAAATAAATCACAACTAGCTGATTTTATCGTTGAATATGCTCACATTACAAAAAAAGCAATATATTAGGGTGGTTAATTTCAACCTCACAAAGCTAGCTAATGCAATGTAAGAGAAAGTGCTTGTATGTACACTAACTCTATTCACGCCCATCTCTCATAATTGTGTGTAAAAGTAGACTTGCTGACAGTGTCTCTGCTGTATGTTGTGGGGGGTGCTTTATTACTTTCTGTGAGAATCTGTGAATGGCAAGAGAAAGGTGACAATGGACAGGAAACTGTTCAATGGGATCTCTTTAAACATTCCCAGCCTCTTTAGACACATGCTGGAGATAAAAAGAAGTAGTGTAAAAGCTATGATTTTGTTTTCCATGTTAACTACTACTAAGGAGCTGCAATAATAAACTATGTACTGTATACAGTATACTGGACACATGAACTGTACTAGATTCATGTCTGTTGCCTGTGTATATGTATATTCTATATGAGGTTTGTTTACTACAGAGAGAATGTTCAAAAAGCATAGTAAATGTACAGTTTAAAAGTGTGTTCACTGTTTCTGGTGTGACAGTGGACAGCTGCCTTTAGTTGTTATAGTCAGAGTTACATTACTGTTATTGTAACTTATGTGCCATTGATAGCCCTGCGTGGGCGTACCTTTTGCCTTGTTGGCGTTAGAGCACTGTTTTCTCTATTTTGTTTTTTTTTATCGGTGCAATTGATAGCCCCTGTGTGGGCGTGTTTTGTTGCCTCTGTTTTATACTGTTTAAAATTAATAAAAACCATTGAATATAAAAAAGTGTGTTCACATATGAGTAAGGTGAATTTGTAGAGGATGTTCATTTAACAAAGCAAATGTCAGTCAATAAGGTGAAGCTGTGTATGCTTTGAATACACATTCTTCTGTTAGCAAATATTCTGTTTATTTTTTATTCTCCTTTTACATGATTGGGTATTGAAAGTGAACACAGGTTTACTTTATATGCTAACATTCACTTTGCTAGGTGAACAATCTCTACTCCTTTAATAAATTAACCTGCTTGAGTAGAATATCTTTACTTTCACAGAATTGGATGTTTGAAGTGAACACATGTTCACCTTATTTGCTAAGCTAGGCAAATATTCACTTTGCAAAGTAAGGATTCTGTAGACCTTTAGTATATAGGTACTGTATATATCCATCTACTGTATATGGATATATTTAGTTTCATTAATGTTATTGGCTTGGATAGTTTTCATTGTTATTTTAACCATTTCAATAGCGGACACTTTCACTCTCTTCCCGCCCAGATCAATTGTCAGGTTTCAGCGCTGTCACACTTTGAATGAAAATTACTCTGTCATGCAAAACTGTGTCCAAATGAAATTAGTACAGTTTTCTTTAGGTGGTATTTTGTTTATTTATTTTAGGTACTTATATAGTGCTGTCAATTTATTTATTTCAGGTACTTATATAGCGCTGTCAATTTACACAGAGCTTTACATACATATATTGTACATTCACATCAGTCCCTAACCCTCAAGGAGCATACAAACTTACATTCATACAAACACATACTAGGGCCAATTTAGACAGGATCCAGTTAACCTACCAGCATGTCTTTGGAGTGTGGGAAGAAACTGGAGGAAACCCACGCAGGCACAGGGAGAACATGCAAACTCCAGGCAGGTGGTGCTGTGGTTGGGAATTGAACCAACGACGCTAGTACTTCCAGGCGGAAATGCTAACCATTTAGCCATTGTGCTGCCCAATTACTCATGGGTTTTTTTTTGCTATACAAATGAAAAAATAATGAACATTTAAAATACCAAAACGTTGTTTGTTTCTGTTATAAAAGTTTACAAACAAATAATATTTCTTCTTAAAATAAGGCCAAAATATATTCTGCTACATTTCTTTGGTAAAATTAATCCAAATCAGTGTATAATATTTAGCCTGTAGGAAAGTATGGAATCTATAAACTATGGTATAAATATTTGAAAATTGATCAATCCTTATGTACTGACTGTCTATTTTATTTATTGAGGCCCTCAAATGCCAGGACAGCACAAATACCCCCCAAATGACCCCTTTTTGGAAAAAGCAGACAGCCCATGGTATTTAGATAGAGGTATGGAGAGTTTTTTGGTGTTGTAGTTTTTTTTGTCACAATTTTTTGGAAACTGAAGAAATCAGAAAAATAAAACATATTTTTTACATACTGTCACCAGAGCAGTACAGCATCATCATACTGAGTGGTGACAGTATGTAAAAAAAAAAACCCAAAACATTTTTTTTTTCACAATTTGTTTTATATACTGTGACCGGAGTAGTGCAATGTTACCATAGTGACACTGTACACTCTGGGGAAATGATGAAGATTTTTTTTCTTACAGCATGATTGCATATAACAGTGATAATGACATCCATTCATTCATAGCCTTTCATTGTGTACTATTGTGATAGCTGTGATTAGCCACATCTATCACATGGTATAGATGCACTGTGATTAGCTCTGTCTGTACCATGTGATCACTGCGATCATCACAATAGTACACAATGAATGGCTATGAATGAAATCTATTCATTGTGTACAGCTGTCATGCAACTGCTGTGATTGGGGATGGAAATAAAACAACTTCACCGGACACCGCAGGTGAAAGATCAAACTGCAGTATGGCCGCTAGGGTGCATTGCTAGGAGGACATCATATGATGTCCACACAGAATAGCAGTGCTCCTGCTCGGCCGGCATTTCTCTTTAAGTCATGCAGGAGGTGGTTAATAATATATGCACATACTGCAGGTTCATTTAACCACTAGCCTACAGGGCACTTATACCTCCTTCGTGTCCAGGCCAGTTTTCAGCTTTCAGCGCTGTCGCACTTTGAATGACAATTGTGCGGTCATGCAACACTGTACCTATATGAATTTTTTTTCACACACATAGAGCTTTCTTTTGGTGGTATTTAATCGCCACTGGGTTTTGAATTTTTTTGCACTATAAACAAAAAAAGAGCAAAAAGTTTGAAGAAAAAAAAGTTGCGTGTGAACATTGTTTATTAACCTAGGCAAGTAGATAGATATATACAACCCCCCCTTGGTACACATCAAATGTACCAGTAGTGTCCAGCACATTGTGACGTGCAACTTATGCATGCAAAATGTCAATATGGCTTTTGAAAAACTTTATGATCCAAATATGTCTCTGTAACACTCCCTCCCCCAAACAAAAAAGAATTTTAATGTATGCTTTGCCATCATGTTTAATTTGCCCCTAGCTTTGTGAGTTTATCCAGAAACTGCATGTCAAGTCAATGCAATCTGGATTTACTTTTCTTTTTTTTTTCTTTTTTTTGGGGGGGGGGGGTCATTGTGTTGTCATAGCATAGTAGCGAAGAAGGGCCTAGTTTGGAATGTTTTATATCACGTGAGCGTACATCATTCTGTTAAGGCATTCCTAATATCCTGCTTATTACCCCTCACACATTCACATATTTAAATCACTACTTCCTACTTGGTTTATCAACCATATCAACCATTGCCCATGACACTTGCCAGGCAATATGAGAGAAGCTAGGTCCAATTATGATGCCAGTTCCTGATACTCATATGTGGGAGGAAATCTCAAATGCATTTATGCATAAGACCTAATTCTCAGACTGCGTTGGAGCCCTGGTTGGCAAACATGTGCGCATTCAAATGTCTCCTGGATCAGACTCCAGGTATTTTAATTACAAGAAATATTTCTCGTTGGTCCTCATGGCAATCTATGACAGTAATTACAAATTTGTTGCAGTGGACATAGAGGCATATGGCAGCACAACTGACTCCCAAGTATTTAGGGCATCCAGAATGGGGAGAAGACTTCTAGAGGGCTGGGTGAATCTACCTGCTGACAAATGCTTGCCTGGAACTGATGGATCTGATATGCCTCATGTCTTCATGGCTGATGAGGCTTTTGCACTGTCAA